GGGGGGAGGGGGCGGCAAGGGAGAAATCAAGAACTGGACAATTAATTACTTATGAGGTACTGGACTACTTTCTGTGGGAAAGGAAAGGAGGGAAAGCCATGTCATTCATTCTTGTAACCAGTCTGCCACAATCAATATCTGATATTTTCTATCAGCATCCAGAGATGAAGTTTGCTCAATTAGAGCAATCAAGAGCGATTTACTGGCTTTTCTGGACGCAATATAATTCCCACACCAGGAAACTGAGGTTCTACTTTTCAACAATATTGGTATTTGAAATGCACTTGGAAGGTCCGACTGCAACATCTAGAGACAAACACCAGAATGTCAATCCGGCTTGGAAAGGATCCTGCAACAATACCCCAAACTGCACAAATCTCCAGCCCTATGTAGGTTGTTTCATGAAACTACACAGCCTACACCAAATCCTGTTCCTACCTTTTCCACACAGCTGTTTACAGTGAAGACATACGTCTAAGGTGACTTGGCTGCTAATGGATTTTGACAGCTTTTCTCCCAGTAAGAGAAGAGATTTTCTAGACTTGTTGGAGGTGTCTGTGCAGGTGCTGGAAACAGACTCCCCCGTCTTTTAGCAAGCATGCATCACATCACACTGGACTGGGATTGTTTATGGTAAAATGATGGTTAGGCTGAATAAAAATGAGTGACACTCCTGGAAGTAAAACTAGGACAAGCACTATACTGGCTGAAAGGGAGACTCACTTAGTGAAAAAGCTTGAACAAGGGGAAAAAGAAAAAAGAAAGAGATCAGGTAGGAAAATAGCCTATTCCTCTCTGTGGATGAAGTTAAGCAATTAGGAAATTAAATGGAAAATATACAATGTAAAGGGGAAAATTACTCTTCAACAGAGAACACAGCTCTGCTGCCAAAACCTGTTGATGGACAGGAAAGTGTCTGGACAGCCTACGGTACAGGTACACATCGGTACTTGAAGGATCTTCTCATATAACAAAATCAAATCCCTCATTTAGGCTTTTAAAATCACAGTTATTTTATTGAAATCAGAAAGGGTTTATGTGAAACACATTACTTTTTAGCTATTTTAAGCAGCATTTTCTGTTTACTAGTAGGAAAAAATTCAAATGTGTGTCTTATAGAAGTGATTTCTAAAGGCTCTACCCAGAAAGTTGTAATAAAAATAGCTACTCATCAACAGACTGACTAGTAACAGTTCTGTTCACTGCAAAGGATAATGCCAACTGATTAGCCATTACTTCCGCATGATAAATCCCCTTTTTCCTCCTCATTGTAAATTCTAGTAATTCAGTGCGTGGCTGTGAGAAATTGGCTTTTAATTTCCTTTGGAAACAACAGTCCAAATATCCAAATGGCAAGGGAACTTGTTAGAAATTTTATTGTGTTCCTAAAATCTAATAACAACTCCGCATCAATATCCAGGTTACTCTTAGATTTGGCCTAAGAGCGCAATATCGTGACAACCTACTCAAAACAGAGCTGCTAAAAGCGCTCAAACTGACATTACCCTAGTATTATCTACTGTGGTTGGCTACCCAAACAGTGAAAATGGGTGCAAATGAACGCGAGGATTATGAGACAGAAGACAGATGGAAAGCAGTCTGCCCCGTCACATGACCGTTTTATAGAAAGAAGCAGAGGGAACATTTCTAACACAACCATCTAAAATTGTTCTTTGAAAGAAGTGTGGGAATACTAACAGTCCATACTGATTTGCTACAGAAAGATACTTGCTTCTACACTCCAAAATAAGAGATTCTGCTGAACAAACTCAGTAGATTAGGTCATTTCATGATCAAGTGGGCACAGACAGGGAGTCTACTTCCAGTTCTCTAGAAGATTGCTAGCAGAATGACTCCCTCCCACTCAATTATTTCACTGTGAATTTTTGTTTTGACTCTTCACTGCCTGTGCCCAGTGAATAACACGCATACATATACCTGTCTGAATTATGTGCCACTACCTGAAGATTTAGCTTTACTTTAAAAATTGTATCTTTATAACAAAAGAAAATCTTCTCTAACTCACTTAGGCCTAAAAGACAGAGAAAAACATTCTAGAATTCTAAGCTTTGAAGAAGTTGTCAGGAAATACCCAACTAACACAAAGATGATGAAAAGCAACCATAACATAGCCTAGTTTTCTTCCACCTAGGTGTTTGTGGTTTTTTGATTAAGGATGTCCCAGCTAGAAAGCTTAAATCACATAGATCTGTTCACTAACTATTCACCTCAGTTTCATGCCCGTTAAATAAATAAAAATCAAACCCAACCCAACAGAACAGGTGCAAAGTAAGTCTTAAAGCAAGCTCAGCTGCCTGGGAATCGTTTCTGAAATTGACGATGTCTACTCACATCGAAATACACATTCATTAAGTAAATATCACAACAGATATGCAAATACTCTTGAAAAGGTAAGCATTGAAGTCATGAACCACTAGCACAGTTAAACTTGCAAGTTCATTTTCCTGTAACTGGCTAACTGACCTCTGAATTATGCATCGTATTTCTCTGCCAGTTCTTTAGTGACAGATGACAGACACGTGCAAGATAACCGAAAAAGATTAACAGTGTTTAAAATTCAAATTTCTCCCCTTTAAGAAAAGCTTCTATCTCTTTAGTCAACTTCGTAACATACTGTCAGATGCACATTCTATAGGTAAGTTTTCTGCCTGCTTTATAGTAGAGAGTAATTTATTTCCTGCTTACCTCGTTACTGAAGGAATTCTCTTCCATTTTCTCAGTTTCTGTCTCTGCCAGAGGGTTTTTCAGGGTCTGCAAGAACAGCGCAGCTTTCCTCTTGCGCTCCGCTTGTAGCTGCTTTTCTTTTGATTCTTTGGAGGCCTGTGCAAGCTTCTCTCTTGCTGCAGCTGCTAATCTATCCTCTAGTTTCTGCTTTGCTAAAAGGAGCAAAGTTTAGGGAGAGTCACGCTTGGGGAACTAACATTTCCTTGAAACAAACACACACCCACCAACACAAGCAACCAGAGCACCTCTCAAATCTTTCTAATACATCCATTCAAAGACATAATAAGGATGTATCAGCTTGATATGATGAAATTCCAAGCATTTTAATTCACAGATGTATGATTTTCTTGATGAAAAGCAGTAGAGGTGAAGTAAAAATCTTCAAGCTTAAGGAAAATGACATGAAAACATAAACCTGAAAATTCAGGATACTTGTCCTTTTCTATTTACAAAAGGTATCTCAAAAAGTAGCACTGCAAATTTAGGAGATTTTCCTTGCACTTGTTAATGCAATGCAAACTCTTAGTTTTGTTCTTTCCACAGATCTGATCTTGACCATACATTTTCCAGCCCTATTTACATACATCTTAAAATGTTTACACAAAGGGCTGCTCCAGAAACAGTTTCACCATTGTTACCACCAACAGTTATTGTTATGTGATTACAGAAAGAATAAGCCAATTTCTTTAATGATGCACTTAATGGATTTTGTCTTATCTTTTTCATCTTACACTTCCACTTTTGTGTTCTGTGCATGTACAACTGGGGTTTTTTTTTTGTTCAACTGCACAGTTTTTTTTCAACACACAACTTTTTCCAAACATGCTTCACACTTCAGTTTATCATACTAAATACTCCATATTTGCTTTAGATACGTATCACTACAGCGTAGTTTGTGCTACTGAAGTTTACCAAGGAACTGCTACTTAGGAGCAAAAAACTCATTTTGAAAAAGAAAAATTAAATTCCTGTGGCATACTCAAATTTGTAAGAGAAATATTAAGTTTTTAAGCTAGTAAACACTGACAGCATCTCATCTTTATTAGGAGGAATGGGGGAAATTTGACCCTTTTAAAGATTTTTTTCATTCAAATTCACACAGCATACCCTTCTGCCCTTACATACATAAAAACAGCAACAGGAAAACCCATGCGAAGACTTAATGGCATTGCACTATAAGAGTAACAAAACAAGGTGATACTAGTCTATATGGGAGTGCTATAGAACCGAAAAATGGGTTGAAGCATTTCATTGTTCTCTGAAGAAAATGAGAAACGGACATGGCTTTTTCTGGGCTCTGTTAATAGAATCTGGCAAGTGGAAGTTTAGTGTTGTACTCAGAGGTTGTAACGGAAAAACAAAATGCAGAAAGATCATGTGCTAGGGCAAACTACTCAGCTGCAGTGTGTTACAAGTTTGATTTTAGCTGAGCAACCAACGAAGATTTCTTTCTTATCAATAACCAGGAAACCATGGGAAAAGAATTCTGACTCCTGCTAACACAACTCAGTGAAGATTCAAAATACCTAAAATGCCGTATTTATTCACATGACAGTTTTGGAGTTTTTCTGAAGGACTCAGTCTTTCATTCTGTTTTCAGTGTAACATCGGTACCTTGTTTAGCTTCCAACTCCTCCTGCGTGAGCTGAGGTTTTTTCTCTTCCACAGCAGCACAAGGAGCGGTAACCGCTGGAGTGTGGTTTGAAGCACTGTTAGCATTCTCTTGGCCTTCCTTGCCCTCTTCTTCCTCCTCATCACTGTCATCATCTAATTTAACACGGTTTTTCTCCAAAGGAAGAAGGTCATTTTCTTTGGCCTTGATTGCAAAGCTTATTGGAGCAAATGATGCTGTGAATAAATGGGTAAGATTTTACACATCATTAGACTACAGTAGAAAGCAGGTTGAAATTCTTGACTTTATCCATTACTCACACAGACCATACCCCCAAGAAAAAGAGAGAAACTTGTATCATCCTTATGTTATGTTAATTATTTTGGGGCAAAGGACCACACAATTTTTATTTTTTTTTAAAGAAATATTAGAAACTTCATTTGCTTTATGAAGATCTAGCTCAAAGTCTTTTTCCAATGCTTCACTAGCAGCTTGGAAGAAAAAAGGTACTCTAAACCATCGCAGGAATTACATTTCCTGAGATGAGATAAATGATTTCATATTCTGCCCTAAATGAATTTCAAGTTGCAGTACTTCTTTTCCCAAATGAACTCTTCCAGAGTAAAACATTCTGTGCTCACGCTCCTATCTGACACACTACAGTATGATATGGTCCCTTATGTTTCCTTCCTACTAAATCAGTGGTTTGCACAACAAAAGCATTTGGCAGGCTCACTAAATAGTATTTAAAGAAAATTAATTACTTTGGGGAGTTAACAACATTTCATTACAGGAGATACAAACACAAAAACTAAGTACTTTTCCCCAAATGTCTTAGCTAGCCTTGCTGTAGCAAGATCAGTGGTCAACTATTCCTTCCAAGCAGCCCCTACTGCTCCAACACAAAAGGACAGCACCACACACTCATGCCAGCACACTCAAAGGAAGAAGAATGCCTGTGGAAAACACGGGATACCACAATGAAAAGGAAATTGTGGATCATTTCAAGTTAGGTTGAATGTTCCAAAATGGAACTTCTAAGAATAAAGAATGGAATTTCTCACACATCTCAAGCAAAGCAACCTACTACCAGATGGTCTGCCGCAATATTTATCTTTCTCAGGACTACTTTTGCATATATATCCTATAACATTCAAATTATGGGAATTTAAATGCAATAATTCAATTACATACCAAGGTTTATAAAATATAAGCTTTGCATCTTGTAACTGTGGGGTAAGGAAATAGACCCAGAAACAAAGAACAAGAATTCCAATAGAAGAAATATTAAAACAGTGATTTTCCAACCTTTTATTATGACAAAAATTCTAAAATTGTATTTTACTCCCCCAGAGACAGAAGAAAAATCTAGTGCGGATGTTATGGCTGTGTTACAGCCAAGCACTGTATTTAGGTTACAAGAAAGTGGGATTTGTACCACAGTAGAGGAAAGGAAAATAAGTTTATAGGACTAGGACTGTCATGAATTGATTCACTGATTATATTCCATCATCTAAATTTGAGCACATTATTATTAAAGCACAGGCTCCAGTTTGCTATTTATTAGTAACACAACAAGAAGAAACAATATCATTTGCTGTTGTATATTACATTCTCTTAATAGGGCATCTTTGAAGACAGGGAAGATTGCTCCTTCCCTAGGGAAGCCACTCAACCTGCGCAGAGAAGAAATGGCAGGGTAAGGACAGTCAGACAACCACGGCAAAGAGCTTGGAGCTTGCAGCCCATGGAGGGAAAGAAATTGCAGGAGCAAGGAGAGAGAAGAATTCCAACAGACCACAGGGAGAAGTTAAACTTATTAGCAATTCGGAAAGGCACTGAAGTGGCAGAAAGGCAGTACCCATCCATGGCAACAGAGGTCAAGAGTGCGTTTCCTGTTTCAGGTTTTTTTCAGTGGCTTTCAGTTATAGTTAAAAGACTTAAGTTTCCAGTTTTTACTGAAAAGAAGAAATTTTAAGATATCTTTTCCCAATATGCCAGGAAAACCATTTCCAGGTATAAATACTCGCTAATCCAACTCAGGACACTCATAGCACATTTGCTGACTTTGCCTAACTGGCTTCCAAGAGATCCTCCCATTTTGTCCCTCTGCTGCTATGGCTGCAAGAGGAAAAACATTCCACTTGCGTGAAAAGGGTCTTTTTTTCCAATATGACTAGCGTCCAACACAGGAAGATTGAGCTACTGAGTAATAAGCCTAGCCTACTTCCTCCATATGTATGGTTTCAAATAAGACTACTGCTTTTATTCAGAAGGAATAACAGGCTCTGCGCAAGAAAGAAGCAACTGTCAAGTTTAAAATGACAAAAATAAGATTCTACTGGGGTCGCTGATGGAAGTCTTCAACTTTGCACAAAACTGAAATAAAACAATTTATTCTGTCAGACCATAAATACCTGATAGTCTGATAAGAAAGAAATATAAAAGCAATCAAATTACTTATTTCAGTCCTTTTTTGATGCTTCCAGTGAAAATATTTTACACATGATGGAATTCTTTTCCTCTTTTCCCTGACTTCCCCACGCCTTCTATTTTTTTTTCCCTTAAGTATATGCTAGCAAATATTTTCACACCCAACAAATCATGCTAACATACCTTTCACCAATTTACCATCACTGACAGCTTTAGGAGGAGGAACATCCTTTTTAGTTCCTGGAACTCCCTTAGCACTTGGCTCAGATGCATCTTCAGGTGCATGTTCATCTGCAAATGGAGTCTCACTTGGTGTCTCACTGGCAGTATCTGCTGGAACATCTTCAGATGAAGATACTCCCTTTTCAAAAGAAATGTGCAAGCTTACTAACTGAGTACTTCATGAAATAATTAATGCAGTGTCTGTGGAGCTACAACTTTGCCAGCCATTTCAAAAATCACATTATGGGCTAATCATATAAAAGCTAATTTTACATCAATGAGCAGTCGTGACCACAAGCCTGTTTCTTATAAATAATGCACTGCTTCACATAAACCCACAGGCTGCAAAAACTACAGACCTACAGTAAGAATATGTGGTTATTTAACAGCAAAGAAAATGTTCTTCAGCTGGTACATATTTGCTAATAACTGTTTTAAAAATGGTAGTTTTAAAAATCAGACCCTAAAAGCATACACTTTCTTTCCAAAGCATATTCTTTTAGGTCTCGATCTCCAGGGTCCAGAACAAAATCCATTAACTTTAATTCACAGCGACAGAATGAAAGCTTATGGCATTTTTTCCCAATGTACAACTGCATGATACCTTCTTCACAAAATCAAATTCTTAGGGATCAACGCAGGTTAACGTGTTTGATTTGTTCCAACATCTTGCTGAAGAACATTCGGCCTATCAGTGTGTTTTGTGGCATTAAACTGATATAGTACAGATGTGCCGAGATTTTCAAAAAAGTAAAGAATTACTGGTTCTACTATTACATCTGAATCATTCAAGACGACCTCTAAACTCACAGTATAAAAACCGTAAGATCGATACTGTAGAACATCAAAAACATTTACATGGTGAGTCAGGCAATGACATTAAGTAATTTAACATTTAAATGAGGTTGTCTCAATAAATAGTTGGGTTGCTTTCCACTGGCTGCTGTTAAGTATACTTAATGTTGAAATACCAGGTATTAAAGAGAACCCTTCATTGCTCCCTGCAGTCATTCCCTGACCAACAGAACTAATTTCTGAAAATCTTCAAAGGGGAAAAACACAAGGAAATCAAGGACTTCATCCCGTATTTACTGAAGCCAGTAGTACCATTTCTTATTAACTTTAATGGCCAATAGGAGAACAATCAATTGCATTAATTGCATACACGTACATTACTAAAACATAAAGATAATATTGAAATCATTATTCTAAAAAATTAAAGAGAATGGCATTATCTACAAAACCATGCAGTAGGAAAATATGCATTGCTACACATGACCTCAAGGGACTTAAACCAGTTTCTGCCTGCTTCCTAGCTGTACTCCTATGAACACTTAAAATAATCCTTTACTATTACGCTTCGGTAATAGTACAATTTCCCCCCAAAATAAAAGTTAACAAGTCCTTATTAATTATGCAAGAATTCAACCCACTGGTTTGCAAATCAGTTCTAGAGTAACAGTCAGCATTGTGGTACAGGACAATTTTGCATGTAAGTTATCAACCAAATAACATCACATTTACAACAGCTCATCGTTACAAACAGTGTTTTCAGAATATTTTTCACTAATAAACCAAAATATTAGACACAAGTGTTTCAAACAGCAACGAGTATTGAATTTCTTCATTTTCCACAAAGCAATTTTGAGGAGTTTACCCACAGGCCTACCTTCTTCAGTTTAAGGCTCCCCAATCTAAGCCTTGAGATGACAAATGACATAGGGCCTAAAAAAAAAATAGCTCTTTCCCATGAAAAGTTAACATCAGATAATGTATTTCTGATACTATTTGCAAATTTTTTTTCAGCAAGAGAACAATCTAATGAGATTAACTAACACTAGAACAGTTAAAAAAAACGATGCCAAGTCTGGGTATCATCTTCTAACAACATGGACTAGAAGAAGCAAAGCAAGGAGGAAACTGATGTGAGATTTTGAAGCTCCCATACTGTTTCAGTCAATCATGACAGGCCTCTTCTTTAACAAAACCTCCCTCAGAAAAAAAAAAAACATGTCAGAAAAGTAGTCTAGCTCCTGTGCTACAAGGAACTACGAAGCGTATGAGAAGATATGGTTGTTAAAAAGCGACACCTAACCCTTCTGACAACATAACACTAATCCCAATTCTCCAAAGCTCTAAACCTCCACAAAGCATATATTCCCTCGTGTAGAAAGCCAAAAGATTTTTCAGAGGTTGTCATTTTATATGACAACCATACTAAGTGGCTGCTTATACTAAAGAGTAAGAACTAAATATCACATCACCTCACATATTCTTACTTAAATGCTATACAAAACTAAAATGCAACAACAACAAAAGCTTTCACATCCTTCACTGAACAATTTCTCCATAATTCATTGTTCCGTTTTAAAAACTTCTCATGGTAATACAACAGCCAAGCAAGTCCTTTTCTGACTTACACTGTGTTTGTAGTACATGTATATACAAACACACGTACCTGACAGTTGTCACTGCTCTCTTTCTGAAGGAAGAACTGTTTTTTAAATTCATAATAAGCATTATACTGGTGCCACGGTTGCAGGAACTCAAATCTGTTAAAAGAAAACTGTGTATGTAAAAATGCACAGGAACATAGGAAACACCAACAGTCCTTTGCCATCTAATTTTCTTTAGCAAACGGAATGCTATTTGATGTTTGGAAGCATTGTAACTTATGCCTAAACTTCCAGAGGATACACACTCAGAGCATGCTTTCTAGAGAACTTAGTTACATTGGTTGTTTTAAGGATTTGGGAAATAATATTTGGCATTACCTTTAAACTGGTCACTGAACTGCAAAAAAACCCCAAACCACCACCCACCAAAAAAACCTCCCAGAACAGAAGTTAAAATAACATTTTCTCTTACCTGAGATCATTCTTGGCACGAACACTGGTTTCGAATTTTATCCCATTCCTAGCAACATACTCAGCTAGCTTATCAATCACAGGTTGGATATCTGGGGGTGGAGGTATAATAGCAACCACTGGAGCAATTGTGCTGAAAACATCAAAAGGACATAGTTTTTTAAAATATAACATAAATATCTTTCAGACTCTTGCTTTAACAAAAAAAAACCCACCATTACACACAGCTTTACTCTCTGGGTTCCTTATGCAGTTAAAATAACTTGATCTTCCATCATGCAAAAACTTCAGAGTAGCTAACAATAACCATGTACAATATTAGAGATCAAAGCAGAGGTAATCAAAGCTGTATAAATGCTGGCAAACATTACTGAGGAACCACCAGTACTACATGCTTCATGTTGAAGTGCAGGAAAGAGACCCCTCCAACCAACAAACACAACTGTACGTGGTACCTTGTAGATGTTGTGGTAGATGTCAACCCGCTGCTGCTCTCGGTTGTGTCTGGGGGAGGTGGAGGTGTAGTACCAGGGGGCGGAGGTACCGCTGCTACGCCTGTAGTGCTTGATACAGTCACCCCTGCAGGCAACGCGCTGTAGTAGGTGGCAACATCTATGCCTGGAGGTGGAGGCGCGAGGCAATAGGTCCCATCAGGGAGCATATAGTAACTGTAATACATGGCTGCCACAGTTGCTGTAAAAAGACATATTTAAGAACAATGTTTTAATTAGAAGAAAAACACCCAATTAAAAAAAAAAAAAATCATTGCAGCAGTCCAAGCACATTGAGATTCTAAACTCACACAACACACTAAGAAAAGGTACCTAATTTCTTCTGGGAAGAAAAAAAACACAGTAACACACTTAGTATGACTAAGAAATACATTGATGAAGGGACAGAATCAGAACGTACTGAAGGTCAGTTGGAAGCCAAATAGGTATGAATGAAGAAGTGAACCAGAGAAAGCCTGTTCAAAAATGACCTAATATGAAATCATTCTTCCTAATCTAATTCACCTCGGGCAGTTTAATTCAGTTAAAAACATGTAGGCTTTCAGACAGACATGCACATATATTCAAACTAACATCAAGAAATTAAACTGCTAGTATCACTACATACATGTTAACCCACTGTATCGTTACATATAGACACAACTACATACTGAAACCTCAACAAGTAGACGGGTTTTGCAATTTAACACCAATATAATGAACAACAGATTTGAGCAAGTTTTCCACACTAGAGGATTCTCCAATTCCAAATCTTTATTTCTTGAGAATGCAAAGGCTTATGGCTTGCTTTCTTTAAGGATAATATTTCGTAATGCTTTAATTAATTTAACACTTTTAAAAGGCAGTTATTTATTGTATATCTGAAGATTTTCTGCAGAAAGACGTATAAACAGAAAGTACTAAGGTAAAGTATTTCAAAGGATTAACAGTAAGAGTTTACATTTCTGGAGGCAAAGTTTAATCATTAAATTATAATGAATTATCCTCTTACAAGTTTCAGAAACATCCCTGTGTGGCAGTATTTACTTTCTTCAAAGGATAAGTTATCCATAAGGAGAACAGAATAAAGATCTGTTAAGTTTTAAGGGCAGAGAGAGGAGTTGCAAACTTGCTACCAAATTATCATCTCCCAGTTTGCATCACATACATTCAGATACAAGCCTGACATGAAAGTAATCAGAAAACTGACGAGCATTATTCTACGGAGATACTTATTCTGATTTGCCTTTCTTGAAATAACCAGTAATTTTCAATTTCTCCACAGAAATCTTATTTCGGTTTTATTAAGATTCTCTTAAGGTACAATTTTAAATAAAAATTACTTCCATACATATTCCTCACCATCTATTACACTCTGACTATACCTGTAATCCTTTGGGGTAGGTCTGAACCTATAATGCATCAAAATCAACTCCCATTACTATGGTAATACTTATTTGGAACAACTGTACTAAAAAAACCCAAGAACTCCACCACCACCACCGTGAAGTAGCACTACTCATTACCTATGAATTTATAATGTCATGAAACCCCACTGTAGCATAGGCTACGATAGAAATTTTCTTCTATCTCAGCAGTGTCAAATGCTAAGTCCCATAAATGAAAGGGTAAGTTTAATTTCCATATTTAAGGAATCAAGGACTTTCAGAATTCTGAAATTTGAACAGAATTATAGGCACATAAACCTAATTAAGGCTGACTTCACCTTTCTGAGTATCAGAGTTTATGAAATTTGCAGTAGCTTTATAAAAGACCTGCATTGAATGGCTTTAAAGATAATGGAAACCAGACACACCCAGGGAAGTTGAGATGATGATGTTAAAAATTCCATAGCAAAGTTGATCCTTAAAAGAGGTTGTAGACAGGAGAGTATTCAGATTTATTTGAAATGGTTCAAGAAAAAGCTAAGATTAAAGATTTAATAATAATTTGGAGACAGGAGAGAAACTTAGTATTTCAGTATCAGGCACGGAAAAAGCAGTTGATCACGCAATTCTTCACATTGTTTGGTTATAATTTACCAGTGCTTTTGTTGGTCTTTTGAGAAAATGGGGGGAAAAAAAAAAATCTGCTCCTTTATTAAAGGATGCCCTCTGTAGCTATGGAACTTGAAAGCTAGAACTCCCTCTCAGATATTGTAATGAGAAATATAATTTCAAAGATCAATTTTAAAATTTTGAATCTTGCATATTCTTGAATTTTCTTTTCTACAGGTAACATTCCATCAGTGCACAGAATGAAAGGTAAAATAATAAAAAAAATATGGGAATTGACTGTAGAGTAAAAGATTTATTTACCATAAAACTACTTTCAACCTTAGAACAGAATATTATACTAAAACCTGGTTTCATCACTTCAGTGGGATCCTTCAATTTACATGATTTTACCTTTTCAGATTCTTCTTAATGTTAGACACTCCAGCAAAAGTGTTCAAAGTAGATTTACCATCTGCTTTTTTTTTAATGGGTATTTAATGAAATACTTTTTAGGACAGTTTCATATTCAATAGTGAAGGCATTAACAGAAATTGATGGAAGTTATCAAAAATTAAGGGTATTGTGCTAAGCAAACTCACAGACTGGAGACTTGGCTTCCCGCCTGCCCACCCCCTCCACCCCATTTCTATTTTGCCTACACAGCTAACAATTCAACAGATACTCAGTGGAAGAATGCACCTTCAAAGATTCAGGAGATTGAAAAATAATAAATATCGGTTACGACTGATCAAGTATGAAGCTAACGCATTTCTTCCCACCAGGATCCGCACACAATTCATCAGGACCCACCGCCAGCTGCCTAATCACAATGCACTTACAATCAGAAGAATATTCCGCTTGTGATGTCTGTACAGCTGCCCCATCGGTTGACTGCGGCGCAGACGAGTTATTATCTGATTGCGCTTTGCGCACCAGTGCGGCAAGCGGATGATCAGGATCTACCACCTTCAAAGGCTGGAAAAATTTTGAGAATAGAAAAAGATTAAAATTTGAAGTACATATTGAAAGAATGATAGCATCAACCTAGTTCGGAAAGCACATTTATCTAAGTTAATAGACATCAGTAATATTGTTCAAACACTGAAGATACTGTTTTTGTAGCTCTCGCATCAGAACCAACTTCTTTTTGAAAATCAGTGGCAAACAAAACAAAACAAAAATATTTTAACGTGAACAGAAATTCATGACATAAAAAAAAAAGTGGGTATTACTCTTACTCGTTTAGTGCCAAAGGTGGGATAAGACACAGAACCTGACTTGTCTAAATATCACGCAGCACCACTGCAATTCCTCCGAAAGCCTCAAATGTGTACAGCCATCTGTCATTCCCATTATTCCATCACTGATCAAACTCCGAAAATAAAAATAACTAACACATCCTGCAAAATTTACATTGAGTAGTACATTCTGCCAAAATATTATTTGCTGAAACTATTACATCACGTCAACAGTTTATCTACTAAAATCTAAGAGAAAACATTCTCTCTCAGCTTATACAGAGAAGGCATTAAATATCTTAATCTTTTCAGCTTCAATACAGGTTCTGTGGGATAAATCCTTGAGTGATGCCCTCAATACCAGAGGGCATCAGAAATAGAAATGTAATTCTTTATAAATGGAAAAATAACAATTTATATACTAGAGGAAAGGTAATGTGAAAGTTTACCAAAACAGACAAAGTACTAAGACACAGTCTGGGAAAAAACCAAAACAAAACAAGAACTTGTTAACAAAAGATCTTAACAGCTGCATATTTGAATTTCTGTGGCCATGAATCAGATGTTTTACAGGGTAGAAAGTAATCTTAACAGGGTCAAGTACCTTCATGAGCTCTTCAAGCCTACTGCATTTTTTAGATGCAAAGAGGCTGGGATGCAGATAATTTCCATCATCATCATCATCGTCATCATCTTCTTCCTCCGATTTGACTCTCGAGTCTAAATAAAAAAAAAGTCCAAATTTTATTTGGGTTTGCTATGGATTTGTATTGGGAGATAAAGATGGTACAGGACAAGTAGGTGTCCTTAAGAAAGTACCATTTTAGTAAGACTGCTTATTCATGAAAACATAGATACAGGAAGATACTGCTAACCATCAATAAAACTAACATGTGAGTGCACAGACCAACCTTCCATTGGACAAGAGCTATACCAGCGTTTCTAAAAGCTCCAAGATCCTAGCAGCTCTTGTACCTGAAAGTTTCTCAAAACTATCTTTTCTTTTAAAAATCTCCTCAATTTAAGCAGATTTTTGAATTATCACCTCACTCTCAGTTGGAGGGTAACAGCATTGCCACTGCAAGTCCACAAAAAGGTGTGGCTATTTTACCAAAAACAACCAGTGGATACTCCAATGACTCACACCCTGAGGCCATCTATTTGACAAGCCACAACTTACGTTTTTTCTCATCCGCTTTATTTTCGGAAGGAGCAGCGTATCTTCCCTCTTTCATAGCCTTCTGAATGAATTTGTAGTAGGGGTTGAGGTAGTGATCAAATCGCAAGAAGTCAAACTGGGAGTTGCGTGCTTGCTTGGCTTTTAGCATGATCTCAAACTGTGCTCCCTGCTTGCAGACAAAGTTCGCAGTTCGTTCTATAATCGCATGCATTTTTGCTGTTGGTGGCTGTGGAAGCAGAATAACAAATATTTGTATTTTCATAGGCAGCTTGTAAAGTGTTAGAACACCAGAGGGAATTAGAAAGACCAGTAGTTCCCTGCCCCTCAGCTTTCTCTAGAAACTCAGTTTCATAATCACTTTCAACCAGTAAAAGAGTATCAGCATTAAAAAACAAACAGTCCCAATCTTCCCTAGCTGCTCATTCATTTCCTTCTGCAAGATTCTGTCCTTCTATCAGCACAACTATTTTTGCCATTGCACACCGAACAGAAGAGGGGAACAAATCCTGGTTGAGTTTGAGGCAGGAAAGAAAAATTCTTCTAAGCCAGATACATCACACAGCCATACAGACACTTCTGCTGGCACAAGACAGGAGACAGGTGTGTTTCTTGACACAGCAGAGACAACTTAAAGCATCCCTGCCTTCCAATACCTCAAGGTGCTCTGAAGACTCAACCGTCTTCCTCTCAACAGCTGTCCTTTGTTCTGTGATCACTGAATGTGCAAATGTTGCTCCTTAACCAAAAGCCTGTCAGGATGCATTTGTTTGGAAGGAACACTTGCGTTTAAAACTAACATAAGAATTGCTATTCCCATCTGCTGTCACATTCCCATAGAGCCACTGAACACTTTAGCAATGAAAGAAAAAAGGAAGTTAATAAAGTTAAGCAGCATCCATGCATTTGCGCTCCTGAAATCCCAGGAGCACTGCCATATCAAATCCAAGAACTGAGAAGAAGAATATAGTCAAAAAATGAATGAACTTCACCACTCACTGTCTTAATTTCATACTCAGATAACTGTTTTGTCTTGTGCTCAATAAACTGTAAAAACACATACTCTGTCTGCCTATAAAGAATGAAATGTCACACCAATGATTTGGTTTAGCTTTGCATTTTTATTGGTCTAGATACAGAAGTATTTTGCAAACCTCAGAAAATCTTTTCAGAAGACTGGAAGCACACGAGACAGCATTGGTCTATTTAGGGAAAAGTCTGAATGTGATCAAACAACACATTTTTATAAATTATTTTCAGCCCTTTACTACAACAACATGTTCAATATGTAAAATAATTAGAGGTTTCAAGTTTTACTTGTTCCTCTAAAACTCTACCAAACACTATTTTAATTAGAGGCAATGAAGTTCTCACCAAACTGATAACACTATGCATTGCCAGTTTCGCTAATCATACACCAATACAATTAAGGTCAAGACATTCATAAACAAAGCTGCAGATCAGCAAGGAAGCTCAAAAGTTTATATCTGAAATTACTATCTGGTCTTAAATTTGAAACCGATACCACTATAAGCCCTAGAAAACAGGCCCTATGAATATTAATATGCTTTTAATTGACTTCTAAGATTACTAACACCACTGATCTACAAAACTTCAGAAACATTACGAAGTGAAAAAACATTAAATGGCAAATGGGTGCAGATATCACAGACTTATTCTAGCTTGCTACTACATTTAATAAAAACACTAAACATTTAAACTCAGGACTATTAAAACTTCTGAAAGTAAGAGTACTTGCCAGACCAGAGAAAAAATCCTTCTGAAAAATATTCCAATTACATAAGTGCTATCATCTAGTCAGATATTCTGTTCCAATCTTTAATTAGTATTGTAATTAAAAGTCTCCCTTACTGCAAGTTAAGCAACTATCTTTCAAATCTTCAGTAAGCCTGGAAAATAATCTTATGTTGCCCCTCAATAGTATCATATGAAGAAAACAAAGCAATTTTCAATCTCCTCGTAAGTTTAACTAATACTTTCCTTTTAGGACTCACTTCCATAGCATCCATGCAGTTCTTAAAATGCAATAGTCAAGGACAGTCATCTTTGCCCACAATCCTCACAAGAGCAGTTTTAAGCAGTGCAAGACTGCCTGCATCCTCGACACAACCCTTCTGAGTTCCAGAAGGACGTTACTGCCACAGCTGGAGCTGCTGTGCGCTGAACATTCAACAGCTCGCACAGCCTCTGCCTCTCTTTTTGCAGAAGTGCTGCCTAACTACTTAGTCTTCATTTAACATTTGCACTTTGGATTGCTCTGCAAGCTGATTCTCACATCCATTCTTATTTCCAAGCACTACAGTTTTCTCCTCAAAATGATTCATACTGACTGCCACCCCAGCCATGGCCATCAACAACTGCCATGTCTTTTAACTTCAGTGCTAATTAGCAGTATGCTCAGGAAAGACCTACAACTCTACTATGCCAATTCACAAATCAGCAATGTATCTGTACGCCTCTTCCAAGCACTTGCGGATTGACACGATGGCAAAGAAATTTATGATGTTTTCTTTCTCCCTCTTTTTTTTTTTATGGGAACTGGGTAGAGTGAGAAGTATTTTTTAAACATGTCTGTAAAACCCCACCAATAATTTACCAGGCTCCTATCCTTCACAGCCATTAAAATAAAAAAAAAAAAAATACAGAATAAATGCATTTAATCGTAAAACTGAATCACTTGACTGGAACAACAACAAATAAGGCTTAAAAAAAAAAAAGAACTCTCGCAACTCCCAATCTAAGGTCAAGAATACATTGTTTTCAGACCTGCTGTCTAGAAATTTTGGGTTGTTTTATTAAAAATCAAACCCAAATATGCCCACATTAGTATGTTCAAACGAAGAGAAAGCAAAAGTGCAATAGCTGACTTAATTACTTCAGGAAGCTCCACACTGCATTCAGATCTTATGGTTCAACCACAGCAGCTATCTGAACAGAAAATACTTTCAACAGCAGTTACTTTTTTGGAAACAGCATCGAAATGCTAAATAAGCAGCTTCCCACTGAAAATTCTTATTCTAAGAATAATATATAACTCTTAACTTAAAGGCAATAAGGTACCAAAAAAAAAAAATCTTCCCTGAACCCAAAGTAGCTAATGAAATGTATTATATGATTGTAAAGAAAGTAGAAGTAAAATTAGAACAAGTAAAGTTGCACATTAGATTTGTTAAATAGCTCTTATTTCATATAAAAACCAGAACTCGATAAAAATTTTCAATTGAAAGTTAATGAAGTAGAAAAACACTCTTACACAAATACCCTGTGTTCACTATTAGTTTCTCTGACAGCGTGGTTTGCATCTTTACTAGCCATGGTTATCAAGCTGAGAATCACAGAACGGTTTGGGTGGGAAGGGACCTAAAAGCCCATCCAGCTCCAACGCCCCTGCCATGGGCAGGGACACCTTCCACTAGACCAGGTTGCTCAAAGCCTCATCCAGCCTGGCCTTGGACACTTCCAGGGATGGGGCATCCACAGCTTCTCTGGGCAACCTGTCCCAGTGCCTCACCACCCTCTCTGGGAAAAACTTCTTGCTTCGGTCTAATCTAAATCAACCCTCTCCCAGTTTAAAGCCATCATCCCCTGTCCTGTCACTACAGGCCCTTGTAGAAAGTGGCCCCTCAGCTTTTTTGTCAGCCCCTTCGGGTAACAGAAGGTGCTATTAGGTCTCTCCAGAGCCTCCTCTTCTCCAGGATGAACAACCACAACTCTCCCAGCCTGTCTTCATAGGAAGACAGCCCAAATATAAACTAATAAAATTAATATAAATTAACACTTTAATGATGACAGTATAGGAGAAAGAATATTATCTGACTTCCCAGTATCTTTTATGAAACTTGAAATAAACTGAAAATACTCATGATTACAACTGTATTCAGGCAGGCAACCCTTCAGCTCCCTTCAGGAAAAATACACAAGTTGCAATTAAGTTCACAGTTTACTATGTAGCAATTTCTGGTGATGTCACCTGAAGGAAAAAGCTTCATATGCTAATACTTTCAAGTTATTTCAGAATTTTCTAGAAATAGACCTAGTGCTTTTGTCCTTAAATAGGCTAGTCTAGCCGTTACATTCGAGCACTTCCTACCCCATTCAGATTGGGACTCAATTAAAAAGAATCCAGAAAAAACACCCTGAACAGAAGCAATCTTTTAGTTTAATGGTCCTTTTCATTTGGAACGTCAACTTTCACATCTCAGTAAGCATCCATTCCAAAAACAACTGCCTTTTTTCTGCATTATCTAAAATACTATCACAAGCAATACTAAATGCACTTAGCATAAGCACTGCAATAATTTCAGTGTGAAAAAGAAGATTCAAGAGAGCTGACAGAACCCAAGAATTCAAGAAAGAACATTTGATATTAAGCTACTATTTTAGAATAATTTAAAATGTAGCACACTAAATTTAAAAGCGGGGGGGGTGGGAAAGAAATCAGCAAAGCACCATAAACTCCTTGAAAACTGATAGAAATGTAGGTTGTGTTAAACATACACACATACCAGTTCCACATCAGAAGGTACGTTCAGTCCCGGAGGGGCAACAAAAGGTTCTTCGTTTTCTTCCACATTTTCTGTCTGAGCTGCTTCTACAAGAAATGACAGAATAAAATACTATAGGACAGAACATGTCAAAGTACCCAAATGTTAACAAAAAATTATTAAAAAAGTACATCTAAAAGGATGTGCAATCAAGGAATTTATCAAATGAAACTGTAACCAGCATTTGCACTAAAGACATTTAAATACAGGTCCTGTCCCTGGTGTTATGTGTAATTTTTTTAAGATTGAATAAATTATGTGTTAACAGAGGTGTGAGGAAGAATAAAACCCCATAAACCTTAGCCCTGACTACAGTGCTAGAGACACGTGTCAAATCAAACAGGAAACATTAATGTCCATTAATATTACTTTTTATTTTTAAAGAAAACCCACGCAAAATCTAGGGGAACTATTTTCAATGCACTGGGTGAATCCCTTCCTAACAATGATTGAAGTATTACTGACATCCAATGTCTCTAAAGCTCATCCAACATCTTTAAAGCCCATACATCTGGTCTGTCTGAATTCCGGTCCTGCTAGTGAACCGTATCAGCCTATGCAAACAGACCTAGGTACTTTCATCAGCTTCCTAACCCTAATGAAACTTGCACAGGAATGTAGCAGGGAGGCTAAAATCCACTTTCATCATATCCATAGATAAACCAGTAGTTGCTTTAATAATTGATTAAAATAAATGTTGTCATTCATCTGTGATTTCACTCTAAAGTTGGTATGGTTCCTTTGATATCAAGTTTAATATATCCAAATATTTAACAGATTTATCACATAAACTACTCATATAAAAAATTATTCTTATATAAAGGCCAATTTGTATTTCATTCTGTTATTTGGTATACCAGAAACATTCCTCTGAAAATATTTTGCTTTACAAACTTTTATAATAATTGAAGGGGAAAGTTTACTTTTTAAAGTAACTTCTAGCATCATCTATTCTAGTAGCTTTAATAGAAAATGTATTCCAATTTTATCTTAACAGATCAGACTGCACAAACTGCATGAAAACCTGACTATGGGAACTATGGACACAGACAGCTGAACAGCCTAATGATGCATGACATGTCACAGCAATTACTGCACACAAGCTCTTACCCATGCAAGAGAGAGTTAATGTTGCCGTCTGTCGGGTTTTTGGGTTTTGTTTATTTGGTTGGTTGGTTTGTTTTTAATTAACTCAAACAGTTTAACTTCACAAAGGCACACAGAAATTTTAGCATTAAGGAGAAAGAAGCAGCAGACAAAGCAGAATAGGACTCTCTCTGGCAGCAGCTCCAGCTAACACCTGAAGTGTTCACAGAACTACAGCCTGTAATTCACATTACGTTATCGGCATCTTTTAATATTGTATTTTACTCTACTATGATTTATAAAAATTTTATATTATTAACTTATAGTCCTGTATTATTGGGAAGCTGTTACCATATAGCAATCTATGAAAAGACTACAGTTCAACTACAGCAAAACACAACACTGACATCTGTCACACTTTTTCCCCCCCTAAGTACTTTTTCTCTGAGTACTATCAAGTGTTACTGGAAGATGTCCCTGTGTTATCCATCATTCCTAAAAATTTTCTAGAAGATAGTTTGGTAAGAAAGCTCACAACTGAGACGATGTTCCAATGACCTGCGATGAGGATCTCTACTTCCTGTCAGCAGCACCGAGAATTTTCCCATTACACCACAAGATTTTGTAACAGCTTAGCATGACACTGCCATGATGCATCAAACATTAATTAACTACATACTACCTTACTGGAAAACTGGGTAGTTATACCTCTCTTTGCCAATGATTAAGTCATCACATTTTAACATTATTCCTAAAAATATAACTTCATTAAGGCTGAAATACATTATTCTAGATATCTCATCGTTCTTGGAAAGTAAAATAATATGGAGCAGCCCAGACACAACTTTAACTCATGACAGTTATCTTACCGAATGAAAGTGGAATTTTTATTTATTACTTATACACTTGATCAAAGGTAGATTCTGTAACATTATGGCACATTTTCACAGTTTTACAAAGGCCTCCTACAAAACAGACACCCTTTGAGGTTCAGGAGATTCCCTTTCTAGTGACCAATAGAGAGAGGACATTCACCTTTTTAATCTCAATGCAGTAGAAAAGGATGGGGGAGCCCAACTACAAAGACATTCTTCCCTATCAACTCCAACTTTTCAGTAGGCTTATCCCTATTCACTCACAGATCCACAACATATGAAAAAACACCCCGATGAAAAGAAACACTCCAAAGCTGTATGTAGAGAGAAACTATTTGGTTATGGAATCTACCAAACAAATGGGAATAAAGCAAATGAAATAAACCCCAGAAAAGACAATGCAATTCAGCATCAGTACTGAAGAGTAAAGGAGAAACCCTTGCTAGAATGCAAGTGGCATGGACACAGCCGTGACACAACCTCTCACACACAGCAGCAAAAAAACATTAAATAAGCTCTAGCCCCTAAAATGATCCTGCATTGTAGCACACACCTTGGTAAAAAAAGCACATCTCATACCATGGTAACCCACCAATATGTATTTAGACAGCTCCATTGTTAATTAAACAATCCTAACTTTACCAAGACGTAGTTCATTAACACTTGAAAGCTTCCGTAAGACTTCATGTTAAAATGCAAAGCTATCATAATTCAAGAGGGGAACCTTTTTAACCTTTTTGTTTTTCCCCTCCAGACATCATGGACAGGGGCACACTATCATAGGATCTTTCCAGTTTGAAAAGACCTTTAAGATCATCAAGTCCAACCACCAACAAAACACTGCTAAGTACACCACCAAACCATGCCCTTAAGCACCTCCTCTCTTAAATCCCCCCCAGGCATGGTGACTCGACCATCTCCCTGGGCAGCTCCTTCCAACACCTGATAACCCTTTCAGTGAAGAAATTTTTCCAAGTATCCAATCTAAACCTCCCCTGAGGCCACTACCTTTTGTCCCATCAATTGTCATTTGGGAGTGGAGACCAACACCCACTTCTCTGCAACCTCTTTTCAGGCAGTTGTAGAGAGCATTAAGGTCTTCCCTCAGCTTCCTCTATGCTGAAGACACTCAATAATTTCACAGATTCTGAACTTTAAAAATATGTATTTTCATTAATTACTATTCTGTCCATGTTTGTAATGATCTTTTTCTTCTTGACCCAGAAACATAGTGTTAACAGACAGCCATGTGATTAATTACTACTTTTTTTCTGAACAAGAATCTGCAAGACAGCAGAAAAATTTCCTGACTGCTGTAGTATTGACTGTGCCACAGCAGGAAAACATTTAAGCACATCAAGAGCAAAGTTTGCAAAAACTCAGTAACAGTTCCATAAAGACCTTGCTGATATGCTTTGAGATTTTTTTACTTGGATTTTAATGAAAGACACATTTTCAACCTCCAACTGCAAGCCAGGGACACAGAGGCACTATGTTCGTCCTCCCAATTAACCCTTGCTATTTTTGCCCCTTACCTCTTTGTTTTGCAGGCTGATGCTCCTCCTCCTCAGTGGGTTCAGAGGGGTCATAATAATCACTGCCATAACGGAATCCCACTGCATTATAGGTACCATCCTCTGCCAAAGCTTCACTCAGTCTTTTATATTCCTCCTCTTTAACAAAATTCAATTAAAAATCATTAGAACATATTAAAAAGTTAATTTCATTTAAAAAAATAATATTTCTTACTTTAGTTTTTATATGAGAAGTTTTCAGCTAATCATTTTACCTTTCATTAAAAACTGAATAGAAACACACAGCATGTACATATGCCGACCATTTATTTCCTCTTGAAGAGATAAAGGCTGCGGGTTAAAACACTCTAATGTAATTATGCACACAAGAGCACGGAATTTCATTTATACAACACTAAAAATGAAGTAGAATGTGTTTATTTGGGGTTTTTTTGGGTCTGAAATCCCAGTCTGCCCTCAGAATCTGGGCAATTTCTGTGTGGATCTATATTTAAACTATCCTGAGGTCCTCTCACATACGCAAAGACTCCCGTTTTTCGAATCCACTGGGTGCTGTCAAGATAACATCAGAAAAAGAGAGTATAAAATTAGGAGTAAATTTAATTTCATAATTATTCATTTAAACATGTGCTAAACCCAGGAAGTTTCCTGAAGCAATACCTTGCCTCGCCTCCTCCTCAAGCAAGTCCGTATGCAAGGCTAAATACCTCTCTTCATCACAGAGGGCTTCTATTCTAGCTTCCTCTTCAGACAACTGATAATCTCTGTTCCACGTGGAATATTCAGCATCATATTCAGAAAGGTCATGTAGGTGACCACGCCCATCGTACCTGCAAGATGAAACAGCTGGTCAATGCAAAAAACTTAGGGCTTGGGTTTATGCGACTACTTAAATACTTACCCATTAAAAATGAAAAAAAAAATACTTATACGTTACAGCATATTTCCTTTTAGAAGTTACGTTTAATTTTTCTAATCATTTGTCACCAACTATCGAAAATTGGTTTAATAGTCTAAATTCCTCTCAAAGAATCTAATAAATTATTACAATTAAAGGCAAAGGTATCCTTTAATAGTTTAAGTGGGATCCATTTCCTCAACAGCTCTTACCGTACGTGCTTCAACCAACCAATCAATGTCACTTGCAAAATACGTTTTTCTGGAAAGTCAAATAGCTTACATTCACACAAACCCGAATACATAAATACCTATCCGTAAGAACCAAACGGTCGAAATTTCCTCGCTTCTTTCTGCTAGTCCCGAACTCTCAGGAGATATCTTCACCATAGAAACTTGCGTCCATTGGAGGTAAAATCATGGCTAGGCTCGGCCCCTAGCCATTTGGCTGAGGAAATAAGTTCTGGGTTATGTGATAGAGAGACACACATACATAGGAACAGTAACATATACATGCAATTTAAGGAGGTTCACCGTAAAAACGGCAAAGATCAATGACGTACAGTTCCTTTCCACTAAGCAGAAATGATTTTTTTTTTTTTGCAGGAAAACCACTGCATTGGGATAATGTTTGTGCATCAGTAAGAGAAACTGATTGAAAAGTAAAGTGCCAGTAAACTCGACTCCGCTGAGGTGTCTTCCCACACACAACTCTTGACTTGTGCCAACTTGCTAGACCAAAAACAAAGAACGTAAATATTCTTATAGCAAAAAGTTAATGAAACACGTCAGTCTGGTTAATCAAACTCTGTCCACAGACAACTTCAACCCACGTCTTCTCACAGCAATGTGCTTTTCTTAAAATGGTGAAAATAAGGACTTCCTGCTGCTGGAGATAAAAACAATCTAAGCTTCCAAAGGAGTCTGTAAGATTAGTAATTCCAAGCTACCTTACTTAACAAATGTTATTTAGATTTTTCGGTATCGTATGTCCATACATGCACATACTTAGTTTTTGTTCCCAACAATTTCTGTAACACCTGTCAACCGGGTTACTGTCGCACAGGGCCGCAAAACTGGCCTCCACCTACTAATGAAATCTGTCACAAAAGTGACCTGTGCTAGAAGTGTGCATCGTAACACTTCTAGTCTCATATAAGTAAGAAATGATTGTTTTTTCATGTCTTTCTGTTTATAGCTGTTTATTAACAACTTAATTTCAGTCATAAAAATCATTAGTGGTGTAAACACCAAACAGTGCAAAGGCATTTCTTTTTCCTCCAGTCTTATGGAAGGAAATTAAAAGACTTTCTCTTACTGATATTTTTCCAAGCCAAATACAGTTGTTAAATCAAAACACGAAAAAGCAAGTATAGCACCAAAGCAATGATGAAATTAAGGGAACAAAGATCTATAGTATGTCACGTGATCCTTTTCAAACCAAAATCCTACCATCTTTCCCACTGATGTCTTCAGGGTCAGCCACAACTCAAACTGTACTTCGCGCTCCTCTCAAATACACACAACCTGACCTCCCATCTTGCCTCTCTCCAGGAAAACACTCACAAAATTAATTCGGAATTAATTTATTTCTAAATCCCACGCTGCACTGCTGAAACAACTCAGAGACCAGAAGAAACTTCAAAGCAGATTCTATTACTCTCTCTGGCCACGTACCAGTATCTACTGCGTAACAACTCAAAAAAGCCAGCCCTGACACAGAATTTGAAAAGCAAGCACCCAAAATTCACAGCCATTCTGCCTAATACAGTCAGTCATGGCACAAGGAGAAAGTAACTAGGCCAAGAATTGCTTTTGGGGTATCTCACCAACAGCCTACAGCCAGATTATGTAGGAGACATAAGAAAACCCCATTTTCCCTACCGTGCATAAATACCTTTCCACTCCCCACACTGCACCGTATCGCTTTGAGAACATATAAAGTGCCTAATCCCTACTGCCATGCAATAAGGCTCCCTTGGCTTCCAAGTGAGAAAACATGATGTTTGTGGTTGGCATTGAAAAGGAACAGATCACCCCCCCGTTCCACCCCGTAAACCTACCGAGGGGAGCAGAAAGGCCCGACGCACACTGACTGTCAGGAAGGGAGCCTCCCAGCACTGCCGGGACAGGGAACCCCGAGTTCCCGCTGCTGGGGGGACGGCCCTGCCGCGTTACAAAAGCAGCACTCGAAACGCTCGACCAGGAGGAGCTGCCCTCCAGCTCTGCCGGGGAGGATCCCCACACGTCTGCCAGAGTGAGCCCTCTGTGCATCCCCCGCCCTCACCTGCCCACAGCAAAAGGGGGGGAACAGAAAGAGGCTATAACAGAGCTTGCAGCAGAGTCTAGGGGTTGTGTTACACCGACCTATCGATCATGATCTTGGGGTCTCCCATCCAAGGAATAAGGTGTCGCCCCTGCTCCTGGTACTGAGCCTTCTCATCATCTCGAAACAGCTTGCAGGCATAGCCGAACACCAGCAGCTCCACACGGCTATTCCCACCTCCCCCTCCTCCTCCACCTCCTCCGGGGGGCCCGGGGACCGCTCCCCCGCCTGACAACAACATTAGGGGCGGTGGGCCTGCTTCTTCTGCAGTCCGTCGAGAACCTCCGACCCCTCCGTACATCACCAGGAGAGGAGGTGCAGAGGAGGAAACTCGCAGTAACAACGACTGTCCGGGAAGCGAGTCCCCCCGAAGACCGGGCCGGCACTAAACTGCCCAGCTCCAGAGCACCACAGTCGCCATCACCCGAAACAAAATGGCGCCGCTTCCGCTTCCGCTGGCGGGGCGGGGGTTGGGCCAGCATCCGGCGGGACGCAGATTCGCCGTCACTTTCGGTAGCCCGAGTGTGAAACTCGCAGTAACAACGACTGTCCGGGAAGCGAGTCCCCCCGAAGACCGGGCCGGCACTAAACTGCCCAGCTCCAGAGCACCACAGTCGCCATCACCCGAAACAAAATGGCGCCGCTTCCGCTTCCGCTGGCGGGGCGGGGGTTGGGCCAGCATCCGGCGGGACGCAGATTCGCCGTCACTTTCGGTAGCCCGAGTGTGAAATCGAAACAAAACGCGGCGCAGCTCCGCCGGTCATTGTGGCAGC